ATCTGCACAGTGCCCTCAGGTTGCCTCTAAGGAATCCAGAACTTTTATCGTGGCTCCTCTTTGTATAGAGTCCATACTTTTCAGAACTCTCTCACCAGAAATGTGCCTGACTTTTGTTCTGATTTCTTAGAAGTCTGTTTTCTAATTTTCAGTGTTTGATGTAGCATCTTTTAAGATTTTTCCATATCTGTGTCCCATCTATACTACTACTTAATCTGTCATTAAATGGACTTTTAAAACCTTTTCTCATTTTAAGTAATGTTATCAATGAAATTACATGTTTGAGCTGGTTATGTTTTTTTCCTAATATGCAGTACAAACATAACCATCAAAATAAACATTTGGGTAATGCTTAGAATCATCCTGCATACACTCTGGCAAATAGTAATCCAGCTTGCCTGAAACTAACCTTAGTTGAGACATCAGTGACTAATAATGATGCATTCTGTTTTTTCCCCCTGGGTGTTATGTTCATTTTAGCAGTAGCTTTCATTACCTAAACAAAAAAGAGTAATGTAAGAAATATTCAGGAACTGAGGCAAGGTCAATTACAGAGATGGTTTTTGGATAGGGCAAGTACTAAATCAGTCAAAAAACATTTTCAGTCTTAACTGATGTTCTCAGATCACTTGTGCCAAAAATTTGGAACTTTTATGCTGTCTTTCTTTCACTTATTTCTCATATTTAATCCATCAATAAGTTCTAAAAATTTGGCCTGAAAAACCTCCATCTACATGACTACCACTCTGGTCCAGATCACCTCCATCTTTCTCCTAGATTGCTACTGTAGCCCTCTATCCAGGTAGCCTGCTTCTCTCGTTGTTGTTCACACCATTCTTCACACAGCAACCAAAGGGGTCAGGGATCCAGACCTACCCTGGTCACTCATATGGATTATTTGAATGTTCAAAACTCCAGGCATGTCACTGTCTATTAAAAGATACCTAGCCTTGGCCAAATAGGAAACCCCAATATCTCATCATACAGTAAGTTTGAGTTAGTCAGCAATGTTTTTTAGAAAGATGGCCACATTTCCACTTAGACATTCAACTGAAATTTGTATTTTGTCATGAAAATAGACGTGGGAAAACAAGCTAAGAGGCTCTTATTTTTTAAATAGAACATAAATATCAAGATACATTCTAAGAACGTTGAAACCATGTTGAAGATAATTCAATATAGATGATAATCATGACCCTGAACATCAAGCAAAGCTTTTTATTGATAACAGAAGCCATTTAGTGGATGCTGGGCATGGTGCTGAACACATTACCCA